ATTACGGTAAGATTATCGAAAACTAAATATTTTACGGGATATTTTATTTTTTATATTAAAATATGTCAGATTAAAATATAAAATAACTCAAAAAGTACTTAATAAAAAAATACTTTATTATAGTGTTTTGGAAAGCTCTTGAGGTAAGGTACAAGAATATGTAATAAGAAATAGGGGATTCCGTTTAAAAAAATGAAGATGACCTTCAAATCTCCTAAGCGCCTCCACCTAAAAGAAAATGTTTACTTCCACAAGATTTCCCCCTAGATACCATACAACTTTTATTTCAAACATTTTTTCCTATCTTTAAAACTGTGGAAGTTATTCGGGTGGCCTGTCTTAGATGCCTCACCCTGTATATACAGGGTGTCCTAGACCACCCGTATACCCCTTTTCTTCCAAAAACTAAGCATTTTAGAGAAAAACGTTTTGTATAAAAATTGTATGGTTTTAAGGGGAACATAAAATGGTGTCATTGGTTTGACCTTGGATGGCATCGTAGCAAAACAAATTGATATATAGATACATAATATAGCATCAATGATACAACTTAATAAAATTATAGATACATATGCTGGGACGTAGTAATGCATAATTTAATCATCATTTAGGTAATTAACTAAAACATTGTTCGCTCCATCGGTTGACACTATGTTATTAATATTATCCGCACAATTCAATATTCCCGAATGTAACACAATATTTATGATCAGCTGCATTAAAATCGGTCAAATTCGATATCAGCCTATGTTCTGCGTAATGTGTATATTCTGCTAATATATATATATATACAGGATGTATCTTAAAAAGTGGGAAGTATTGCAATGAGAGATTCAGGACATAAAAATAAGAGAAAAAGTTCACATAAACATATGTCCGATATGACCTTGTTTTCAAATTATAGCATGTTTTATTTTCCAATAGAGTTAAGATAGCATACTTGGATATCGGTTTGCTGTTTATGTACAAGATTTAAAGGACTTAAGGTCTTGTTAATTTGTAAATCCACTCGATTATTACTTGTGGGGGCATCTAAAATCCGCATCTAATATGTCAGATTAAAATATAAAATAACTCAAAAAGTACTTAATAAAAAAATACTTTATTATAGTGTTTTGGAAAGCTCTCGGGATAAGCTATAAGAATATGCAATAAAAATAGGGATTCCCACTTAAGAAATTAAAGGTGTCCTTGACTTGACCTTAACGATGCCATCCAAGATCAAACAAATAGGCGGTTCCATTTAAGAAATTAAAAGTGTCCTTTAATTGATCTTAACGATGCCATCCAAGGTCAAACCAATGACACCATTTTATGTTCCCCTTAAAACCATACAATTTTTGTTCAAAACGTTTTTCTCTAAAATGCTTAGTTTTTGAAAGAAAAGGGGTGTACGGGTGGTCTAGGACACCCTGTATATAAATAAAGTGCTGCAGAATTCTGCAAATGGAAAATTTATGGAGTCGGAGAGAATTATATCGCGATTAATATCGCCAATTTTTTCTTCACAAGAAGAAATGATTTTAAATTATTATAAATCGTGAAAAATTTCATTCGTTAAATTTAGGATATCGGATCACTATATATATATATGTATATCAGGTCTGCCCAATCTTTACTAAAGTTTGATCGATAGATACACATCGATCACCATATTTTTTACGAAACGACCGATCGATCGCGATTGACAGGCCTATTATACGTCCTCTACGTTCTCGCGTATCATCATGAATGCGATTTCGAGCGTCACATCTGCACATGCGTACTAAATCGCCGCCGTCGATGATAACATAACGTACGACATATCGCATGTGCAGAGTGCTCGCGTTAATGGGCGAGCGACGACATCGCGCGTCGAGACGACGTTCGTCATTTCTTTCTTTTCATCATCTTTTCTCTTCCGTGAGACGTGGCTATTATTCATTTCCGTTTGGGGAAACGTGTTCGCGAAGAAAGTTTTCCGATATGAACGAGCGGCAGGAGAGGAAATCCAACGAGAGCCTGCCGATGATGTCACGTTTACGTGCGAAGTGGTCTCGTCGTAATCAGTATGCCATCAGTACGTACGAGAGGAAGATATACGTACGATTCAGGAGGAAAGATATTTACGATGATAGTCGGTCATTGTTAACAAAGTTCATACGAACATGAATATTCGATTCTGAATAATCCGAGATAGAGCTGTTTGACAGCTGAATACAAAAATATCGTGAGTAGAAATAAGGAATAACAAGTTACTTGCTGCTTCTGATATTGCGGTATGTTTAATAACAAATAATCAATTAATAATATATTTAATTAATTAATTAATATTCAAAAATCCTATCGCACACTTGAATCTCAGATGCTGCATTGCTATGTATTGCTCATGTTTGACCCTTAGGCATTTTACTCTAATATATATATCCTTCGGACAACGTCATTTACGACAATCAAATAATGATGGTTTAAATTGCACTATACTCTATTAGAGTTGCGTCAACGTAAACATGAGAAGAGAGACAGAGGCAGATTTGCATACGTGTATCACATTCAAATAGCTTTTTCTCGGAAAATAAATTAAAATCTTGTTTATATAATCTTTTATTCTCATATAGTGGCCAGCACTATCATCTTTTAGAAATATGGACCTCTCCTTCTAAATTATCCGATATATATATATATATATATATATGTGTGTGTAACAAGCGTATGTATGAGCGTGGATCCTATAGATATTTTCCGGCCAATATTTTTCGATAAATATTTCGCGGCCGTCGCGACGCGCAATCGCGCGGGAGAATTGCGTCGGCGACAAATATTATTTATTTTCCCATACAAACGGAAAATACATATTTTGAGTGGCGACCGAGCATGTTGGCGCGCGCGATAAAAAAATACTGGAAGTGACTAGACCTACTCTAGCCTTAGGAAAAAAAATTTTTTGTTTAATATTTTATAATCAATATAAACATACATATGCGAGGATGTTCAAAGTGTCGAAATTTTTATAAGAAAAAATATAATAAAGATGATTTGGAACTTGCTTAATCTGTTTAAATGAAGTATGAAGTACCTGTTTAAATATAGCAAACAGTTTAAATAAAATTATAATAAATAAAAATAATAATTTAGTGTATTATAACACACTAAATTCATTAAGTACTTTTTGAGTTATTTTATATTTTAATTTGACATATTTTGATATAAAAAATAAAATATCTCGTAAAATATTTAGTTTTCGATAATCTTACCGTAATGCTTTTATGTACAAAATAATGAGACAAATCAATTAGTGTAAAAAAAACAAATAATTGT